TTATTGGAAAAAAAACAAAATGCAAAATGAAAGTTATGTATTTTCTATCTAAGTGAGTTGCAACCTAGGCGGGTCTAGGCGGGTGCCTAGGCGGGCTAGGCGGGTGCCTAGGCGGGCTAGGCGGGTGCCTAGGCGGGCTAGGCGGGTGCCTAGGTGGTCTAGGCGGTGGGCTAGGGCCTAGGCATTAATCGGGGCGGTGGGCTGGGGCCTAGCGCCTAGGCGGGGATTTTTAGAACAGTGGCAGGACTTCAAAACAAGTTTCCTTCACGTGACAAGCACATGCCTAAACGCGCTTTGAAGTGGGGGCATTTGTAGACATGTAAATTTTGTTGCATGCAAATTATGCATCACAAAGCTCCAAGTGATATATGATTCATCACAAATGGAAAGGTCATCAATGACATGTGGCACAAATCAAGCAAAGGCAACTCAAAAGCATTCCTAAAATTCGGCAAAGGGGAAGAAATATCCTTAAAATCGACAAGGGGTCCAAATTGCCCTCAAAACAAAAAAGAAAAAAGCATTGTCACAAAATAGGCAAGAAAGCCCTATAATTCGGCCAAGCAAGGGAAAGTGCCTAAAAGAAGTCATAAATCAAAGCCAAATCTACCCAAAGGCATGGCTTTGGAAGTCTATAAACATAAGGTCCCAGGACAAACAAAGGGTCGACAATTTCTACATTTAAAGGCCAAAATTCTCACATTGAGAAGAACCACTGACAAATCTTTGAAGACTAATACGCTGCCAAAGCTTTCTTCAAAGAATGCACAACCAAAGCCGAAGCTTTCTTTCGACCAAAGTCGAAGCACTCCCTTGAAGAATTAACAAGCACTCGTGCTAATTCCTTCAAGACTTTGTTGCATGCTCAAAACTTGTAACGATGTTCGATTCAAGATCAAGTCATCAAGACCCTTGAATCAATGAAATCCCACATCAACATCACCTTTGCCATAGCTCATACATAAATTTTGAAGTGAAGACTATCCATGCATTGTTTCAAGCTCAAAACTTGAAGCAAATCGTTCAATTGTTCGTCTAAGATAAAGTCACCGCGACCCTTGGATCAACAACCTACGCATCTACATCAAATTTGAAGACTGAATCAGAGGAAAATTGTAAACAAAAATTGTAACCCTACAAATTCATCAATACAAATCTACTTTGTACACGTGTTCTCGTTTCATTCGTTACAGAATTTTCATGTTTACAAAGGTTGCCAAAGAGAAACACTGCAAAACGTACAATAACTTCATTTCATTTGAACATGTCAATATGTCCACCTATACAGAAGATGTAACCAGTATCTAGACCGAGATTTTGAGCCAAAAATTGTGCTACTTAAACTTCATTCAGTTAGAGTAGTCAATGTCACATATATACGTCGTTATACCTTCACTAATGTTCTTTATTTGATGTTGAAACATTTAAAACAATAAATATCTGAAGTTTCTAAGTATATCTGTCTTAGAAACACGAATATCATGGAAGAGTGAACTACCAAATGTGGAGCTGCAGAAAAACTATTACCCTAACTACAAACCATTAGAATGCAAGAAACTAACATCAAAGTCATACAGTTGTAGAAAGTCTAGTTGATTAACTCACTATTCCATCTTTCAGGTTTTCTAGCTAACTTGGGTGCAACCCTCAAGGAGTAAATTTCAACTATGCATAAAAATGTCCATAGGTGAATTGTTAAAAGATGCAGGGTAAGTTTGATAGAACAAAAAACAATGCAGGAATCATTATTTAGCACATACATTCCTAATGAAGCTTCTGAGTTATCAACATATGAAGCATCAAGAATCTTGAGAGCATTCCACGCCTATTTCCATAGAAATTGACAATCTAGAATCATAATAAATTTATTAAAATGTAGTAGTACGGCAGAAGCGTGCGTGTGATTCAAGATATGACAATTGTAAACCATATAACAAGCTTCGCAGCCATGTAAGTTCGCAACATGTCCCCATCAAAACGAGTAATTGACCTTTGATTGAATAAAGCCAGTAGCTTTAACAGCTTCTGTAAATTTTGCAAACCATTGACACTTTGGATATGTGAAAACCACGCCAGCGGAAGATCACTTACACAAAAGGTGTTAACAGCTAGATACTACTGGCTTACCATGAGAAAAGACGCTTTGGATTGCACCCAAACTTGAGAGAAATGCCAAAGGTACGCATCCATGAACTATGAACATGCATATGAACTTAGCACTTTAATTGGGGCATGGCCTTTCATGCAATTGGTCATTGATCTTGTCATTCTATTAAAGAAAGCTCAAGGAACAAAGATTATATAATAGTGGCAACATACTATTTCTCCCACAGGATAGGCATAACCTCTGTCTAGAATCACAAGGCGGCGGTCAAGTTCTTCGTTTAGAAGAACATCATCTGTCGTTTCAAAATTTCCTACACCATACTCACAATCTAGAATCAGCTAAGTGGAAGCTTTAAACTTTGACCCTGAGTACGATTACTTCTATCTCGGACTAGTGTGCTAAGTCAAGTACGCTCAACGACACCATGTGTCTAAACAGGTCCGAAAAAGACATCCTGACTAGGAAATCCTCAAAAGGAGTTTTATTCCAAAAGAACTTTGATATCCAAAAATATGCCTTAGCCAAGTCAACTAAATGTAGTCTGATTGGAAACACTCAGGTCCGATGCATAGGGTCTGGCAAAAGGATTCCAAAGGTGTTTCCGACCCATTTGCAGGCAACCAATTCTTTAATGAACTTTCGTTTAAGATTCACAAGGACGAACACATAATTTAGAATAGGAAGGAAACCCCTTTCTTGGCGACACAGTGCGACAATAAAAATCCTCATTCTGAGGGCAAGGTTAACAAACAAATAAACAACATATTAATTAAAGAGAAAATGACATATCCATTGAAATGCCGGAGGCCATTCCGAACAAATTTCTTCCCTTTCTAATCCTTCATTTGACAAATGCACTATGGCAAGTTCAGAGTAAAAGATTTTTATAGGCTTAGTACCCAGTGTCAGAGTAAGGTGATATTTTGATTATTGCAGTGAAAATCTTTACAAGTACCAAGTTTGAGAGGTGATGTTTCTCCGAATCAATGTTACCTAAGGGCTTTGCCCCGGCCCTACAAGCTTGCTCGTGTTTCACTTTGTTACTCATTACTCCGAAGCTAGATTACTTTGAAAAAATTAGTCGAATTAAAGTTTCATTTTGCCATTAAGAAGTAAACGATTAAAAGTTTCAAGTGCTTTATTCTAACAGGATCAATGACTTGAATAAAGTGGAATTTAATACAAAGGTGTAAACACATGTTTATTTCCAAAGTCCCATGAATAGGGCAAAAAGAGTAGAATTCTTAGGGAGAGACAATGCCCCTTACCCCTGGCACAAAAAATTTCCTAAGGGTGCTACTTTCTACCAAGCAGTGGTGCTTATTATCCAGCTCGTTCGGACTTACCTTGAGAGAACACCAAGAGGGATCTAATAAAGAAGGACCTTCTCAAGAATTTCAACACTATGCTCAAGTTGAACCCATATGCGAAAATTGTGAGGAGTATATTGTTTTTGGTTATGGAGCAAAGTGTGGAAGCCTTAAGGGTAGAAAGGTCTATTATTGAAATGTTACAGTTCATCCCTGTTTCACTTAATATTTTTTGACAAAGGTAAACAAGGATGTGGCAAGTTGACACACCCCGACCCTAGGAGGTCAGAGCACGCTAGCAGTCACCGTGAGGTGATGTAACCATAAAGGCTAAGTGATGTGAAAAAGTGAATAAATTAAAACTAAACTATAACTAATTTAAATTAAACAGTGAAAGAGTGTGCAGTCATGGGAAAAACCCATTACAATTATTCAGAGCATAATAGACAGTAAGACTACAATGAAGTAGTCAAAGTAGCTAAAGTATACTTATTACACAACAGTGGATAAATTCATACTTCTAAACATAGATAATGTCAAAACTGTCGAAGGTTCCTTGAACGCCACAAAGAGTACAGCTGTCCTGGAGGGGCGAAAAACAAAGTTGAGTGGGTCAGCAATACAACGTTTGTAAGAAAATCTTTATTTTCGAACATACTAATCCCTCACTGTAAAACAAGTATAGTTTCCTTAAAATATACTACGTAAGTATGTAAAGAACAGTATAACAACAATATAACTAGAAATATGCCAAGTCATGATATATCAAATGCCGCAGTTATACAATCATGTGATAATCAAGTATAATTAAGTCTTCATCCATCTAAGCTGACAAACGAGTTCGTACAAATAAATTTTGACACAAATATGACTGGGTGTAATCAATACGCTCTAGTACTACGATCACATGAAAGCTGGTGCAGAAGCACGGTCACATATGAGTCGCAGTTGCTTAATGCAATATGAATGATAGGACTAACACTAACTTGGATCCAAAGTAAGCAAACGGTGAGGATGTAAACATACACGTAAGGATTGGCCCTGGCCTTGGGGCGAGCACTAACACCGGGGTGCAACAAGATGAGCATGTACAAGTATGTATGAATGTCATAACAATAATATCCCAACCATATAGCAGCATTTATCACATTTAATATCACAATAACGATACGACAATATAAGCGTAAAAATGAAGTAAATGCGCATTTATGGAAACTATAATTATGTATAGGTATAAAACAAACTGCCCACTCACAAATATGTCATCAGATTGTAGCCCCCAAGCCTTGCCTGACCCCTCAAGTCCTTGAGATACATTTCTTCTATATTTGAAATAATTATATTTAAATTAATTAAACACATACACAGAAACTTAAATAAAACCATCATAGTTTGCTCAAACCTAAGGTTTAAATATATGAAATCAATCTACTCGATGTCACGGACCTACACAAATTTTTAGAATAATTTTTGGACGCCGGATGTGCCGCCACGCTCAGGCAAAGCTGACGGAGGTCTAATGGCCGTTAGGAATATTTAGTGGAATATTCTGTTAAATCCTTAACAGAAGTTAACAATGTTACCTAACACCGTTAGAATATTCCATAAGGGTTGATGGAATATTTCATCGCCTTCTTCAGTGGTCCTCACCCGTCGCTGCCGTCTGGTTCGCCAGTTTCTGGGAAATTTTCAAACCTTCATATCTTCTTCATTTCTCAACCATTTTTTACAAAATTTATATGGAAATGAAGCTTATGAAGAGTAGAATCGCGTTATACCTTTTTGGAGTCCAAAAAATGGACGGAGATGGCCTGACAAGCCTCGAAAGGTACAGCTAAAACTCAACTCTTCAAAACCTCGTGTTTTTTACGTCAATTCCTCACCAAAACTAGTCTAGGAGTCTTAGGGAGTTGTAAGAGAGCTTCCCCGTACTTCAAAACTTCTCGACTCGGCCTGAAAATGTTGAACTCAAACTCACTGAGTTCGGACCTTTCGAGTTGGTGAGTCAAACCTTAACCAAATCATGATTTGGTTGCATGGCTATGCTCGTGGTGGTGAAGGGAACACAATGGGGTATTTTCAAGTCGTGTTTATGAAGTTTAATCGTCGAGTTTGCTTGTTGCAGAGAGAATGAGAGTTCGGGGAGAGAGAGTGTAGAGAGAGTTCTAAGTTTCTGATTGGTGACTAGTGTGAGTGTGAAGCTCACTAATTGGTTATGTAAAGGAAGGAAGAATCTAATTGGGTGGTGAGGAAAGAAACCAGGAAAAGGAATAGAGGAGGGTGATTTGTGAAAAGTGATTGGTTGATTGTGTGAGGTAGATGGAACACGGATCCCCTTTTTGTGGGATTGAATGACTATCAGAGTTTGTACAACCCTTAATGTATAAAGTCAGATTGCTTTAAATGTTTCAAACAAATCCATACGCGTGTGTACAAAATACCCGTTATTAATGTACTTTAACAAAGCGTAACTTTAACGTTGCAAGTCTGATTCGAGTCTAACGCGCGCTCACGAGTTCATATTGACGAGTACAATTTAATTACGATAGCGATAATAATAATTTAAGAACAATTAAACATGTCCACGTCACTTGCCAACAAGGGCAAAAAGTCACTTCACATACTCGGAGAGAAATTACATAGAAAATTAGGAACGGGTCGTCACACAAGTTCCTTGGCTACGTATCCTAATCATGTAAGGCTCAAAGTGGAGGTTGGGTATGAAAATTGAGGGACGGAATAAACAAAGGGGATCCATGTTGAAACTCAAAAGAAGGGACTTGGAAAAATAAAGTCAAGTCTAAGGTATTTAAAGAAGAGCTGCTGAGTAATCTCATCGTCAAATTTAGAAAGCCTCACTTAAAGATTTGCGTGTATGAAAGTCGAAGCTACTCGGAGATGCAAAGAGCCATCTCTTGTTATTTCATGCACAAGCAACATGAAGTCCCTCATCATTACTATCTATGTGCCACAATTCTCAAGGTTGCACGTCTGAATTTGGAATGTCAAAAGTGACGTGGGTTACGAAGTCGAGATGCCATGTCTTAGAAAAGTTTGAAACAGCACATATTCCAATTTACTCTGAAAGACATGGTCTTTGGATAACTATCAATTCTCAAGAAAAACAAGTCATTTTTAGATACATAGTTATGGACAATTGTGAGACCATGATTTTTTAGGGTCAGAATAAGGCAGATCAGAATACAAATACTTCGAATGTCTGGTCATGAACTCAACAACTTCACCAGCAGAGTTGCTCAGACGGAGCATCGACGCCACCATCATCTTGTTTCAAAGCATTCGGCGAAGTCCGACGACTTTGCTGAGATTGACCATGTTTGTTCTGCAAGACACGAGAACCTAATCCAAAAAGGAATCAACAGGTTTCTATGTTCTTGGAGTCCTTACAATCTAAGAATTGGTATGCTCCACAAGTAATCATGCTCCTAAGAGGAAGTCGTATCTACTTTCTTGATATCATCTCGGATCCCTTCGGTTTAATATGGATTTCATATCCTAACAGGTTTCTATCTTAGCTAGTATGAATACACCCTTCTAAGGTTGATCTTTGGTAACACAATTATTACTCACTTATACACTTGTTTACAGCTCGAGTCTTATAATATTGCTTACTAACTTGACTATCAGAGAGTCTTTGGCCCGCGCATACTACCGGTTATTTGTTCTTTTACAGGTAAACAGATTTATACATCTTCCACCATATATGGCGGTGCGTGAATTTGATTTCAACAGTCACCAATGGGAAGCACCGGAGAAAGAAAAATATAACATATCCAAAATTGGAGCAACTTCCGACGACTCTAAAATTTGCCTATACAACCTCCACTACATCCCAATATTGCAGATGCTTTAAGAGTACTATTTTCTTTAGAACTATTTTCGTGACGATTCAGATGGATAGACTCAAGAACACAATGTTGTCAGACTCTACTAACCAAGAAAATCTTTTGCCACGGGAAAAATTCATGAAATCCTAGACAAATATAATAATAATGATCAATATATAAATGAAATCCTAGACAATAAAGATAAGGACTGCTTCAAGTTTTTGTCCTCATATGTGCAACACAAATGGCTCACACTTTCACTAGAACTACTTCAACTTTAGGTTCCTACGGATTATTGCGAATCGATTTATTATTTGATGCAAAATAAGAATTTTGTTTTTTTAGAGCACTTCTTAAGAAGGTAGTAATTGGGTAGCAAAATTAGATTTGCTACGACACATAAGAAAACGCATTTGAAACGAAGGTAGCAATCCAATTAATAAATTAAAGAATTAACAACTAACCTTGTATATTTCTAACGCCAGTTGCTACTTTTCAAGTTAGCAAATTGATCTGCAATATATTTTAATAAGAAAATATTGTTTATAAAGAGTTGGAAATTAAAATATGGGCTCTAGAAGATTTTAACCTGAAAAAGAATTGAAGAGTTAATTGAAGTGTGAGTCGAAGAGAAAACTGTAAAACAGTATAAAAGTGTCAATGCGTTAGCAAATGATACATTTAAAAGAAATTTTGCTATGCCTTCATATAAAAGTTAATTAGTCATATAAAAGTTAATTAGTCATATAAAAGTTAATTAGTCAAAACAACTCCAACGATGAAGATTATTTAAAAATGCGCGCCCAACAAACCACAAGAACTTTAAGGGCTCGTGTAACATTTGTGATAAAAAGAAGCTTGCTATATATTCAGATCAAAAAGCAAAAACAAAAGAAACTACCAAGACTCCCGTATCACAAAAAGTGCACGTGTCATTTCGTTAACCCTGATTGTCTGGAATATCTATCCCTCTGCTCGTGTGTCTAGTCTAATGTCTTCCAGCGTTTCACACCCCCATCCCTTCTACTAATATAAAATAGAAAACGAAAATTACAATTTCACACCAAAAAAAATAAAAATAAATATTTTGGAAGGTAGTGGACTGGCTTACCTTCAGTTCTCTCTACTTTCTAAGTTTTGGCGCCTTCCGAGTAACTTTATAAAAAAAATAAAAAAATAAAAAAACCTGAAAAAAGCTAGCAAATGGGCGGTGTAGTAGTGGGGGTGGGAATAGTAGTACGCTCCGTCCGTATTGCCGGTCGCGAGAGAGAAGAAACCCAGGCCAGCCACCTGGCCACAAGCTTGAGCTGTCGTTGTTGTTGTTGTTCCTGTTGGCTCTCATTGCCCCCCGTCGCTCTGTTCGAACCACCACAGCTCCATGATCTCCTCTTCCCATCAATCCCTCCGGGCCCTCCTCCTGCCGCGGGCCCCGCACTCGCCTGCTGCCCATTACTATTCTCATTCTGCTGCGCCCGCTGACGTGTCAAGCCCTCGCTCATTATCATTTCCGACCGTAGATACAGAAGATCCGACGGCAGTACGTCGCTCCATCTCTGCTGGAGCCCACCGGGACCAGACCCCGACCCGGTAGGGGACACGATGATCCGGTGCTCCAACCTCGTCCTGTCTTGGCCCAACAGGAGTCCATCTTTTCTGGGTCGGTCGAAGCATCCGACGGTGGCCGGCTCGCTCTTCATTCGGATTGCTGTCCAGCTGTCCAGCGACCTCCGAAACGACCACGTTTGGGCTTGATGATGCCCCGGTCTGTGTTCTCCGGCGAACGAGTGCCGCCCCGAAATCCGACGAAAAACCGGGTCGTTCTCGATCTCCAAAACGACATCGCTATTCTTCGGATGCAAGAGCTTTGCGGCGTCCTCGACTAAGAGGACGTCTTCGGGGTCGACCCGGTACCGGCAGAGGGGGCAGGTGGAGTGGGCGTCGAGCCACGTATCGACGCACTCGACGTGGAACGCGTGTTTGCATTTTGGCAGGAGACGGAGGACCTCGGTTTGGTCGAACCGGGTCAGGCAGACCGCGCACTCGAGCCCGTCCTTATGGCCGCGAAGGGACCTGAAGCGGAACACTGGTAGGGACTCGACGACGGAGCGGTCAATGCCTGAGTTTTTACGTGGGGCGGGTCCGGTGGGTCCGGAATTGGAGTTAGAGCCGACGATAACTAGAGCACCGCGCTTGCAGTGCTTGGCGTAGAGGAGAATAAGGAAGACGACTGAGAAGACGGTGGTGAGAACGGCGACGATTATGGCTATGCTCGGCCGGAGAGAGGAGGATCTGGTGGGGCCCGCGTTGTTGGGTTGAGGAGGATGGGGCGGTGAGGGAGATGGGTTGACAGAGCTGGCAATGTCGCCGAAGCCGGGGGTGGAGAGATGGGAATCTGCTGCTGCTGCGTGTGGGTGCGCGCGAGTGGTTTTGATGAGAAAAGAGAGGAGGAGGGTGGGGAGGAGGAGGAGGAAGAAGGTGGCGGGGGTGGTGGGCTTGAGAAAAAGAAAGAGGAGGCCCATTTTTCTGTAATTTTTTTTTTGTGTGTATGAGGCGGGAGTGGCACCAGGAGGCGGAGGGAGGGAAGAATCTTGGCGGCGTGAGGGCGAGAGAGTTTGTAGTTTGTAGTTTTGTAGGCGCAAAAGGAGGAGGGGCTTCTTTCTTGAGGTTCTTGCCCAAACATACAAACAAAATTAAACCAAACAATTGCATCTGTCGGTATCTATATCTCCATCATTTCCAACTAAAACTATATCATCATTAATGCATTTATTTCATTTTCCTCTCGTTAGATAATGCTAGAGATATTAAAATTTGAGTAATACTAAGGATATTCAATTTGTAGACTAAACTTTATACATTGAATGACATGGAAGTTGATGATTGAATTATTACTTAATCGTTGATAAACGTGCTCACTTTTTATTGATAACACCTCATTTGATTTGCTAATTTAGTATATGTTTATACCATATTTAAGGCCTCGTATTTAGATCTCGTACAAATACTCAGGGGACTTAAATGTAATTATGTGATAAAGGAAGGGGCAAATACTCAGGGGACTTAAATGTAATTATTTGATTTGCTAATTTAGTATACAAATGTAATCTCCTTAGCATTACTCTTAAAATTTCAGGAGTAATGCTAGAGAGATTAAATTTGTATATTAAATTTTGTAAAATAAATAACATGGAAGTTAATGATTAGTTTATTACTTAAACTTTGATAAACATGCTCATTCCCTAATAGTGACACATCATTTTTTTTTAACAAACGATATTATTTACACTAAAAGAAGATGATGAGTTTAGCCTCACAATGGGCTAACAATAATGTGATTCAAATTCGCCTTTGGCGAGAATTAAACCTAAGAACTCTCACTTATAAGTGAAGAGAAATACCACTAGACCGTGATACTACAAATTTAGTTTGCAAACTCTACAAATTTAGTCTCTCTAACATTACTCAAATTTTACATCAAATTTGTAAACTAAATAATGTGTCACCAATAATGTCACATCCCGACCCGGGGCGAACCACTTCCCGGGCCCGCTCTACCACCGTAGCACGATATTGTCTGCTTTGGGCTTACCATTCCCTCACAGTTTTGTTTTTTGGAACTCACGAGCAAATTCCCAGTGGGTCACCCATCTTGAGAGTGCTCTAGCCTCCTTCTCGCTTAACTTCGGAGTTCCTACGGAACCTGAAGCCAGTGAGCTCCCAAAAAGCCTCGTGCTAGGTAAAGATGAGAATATACATTTAAGGATCACTTCCCTGTGTGATGTGGGATGTTACAATCCACCCCCCTTAGGGGCCCGACGTCTTCGTCGGCACACTTCCGGCTAGGGATTGGCTTTGATACCAAATTGTCACATCCCTGCCCGGGGTCCACCACATCCCGAGCCCAAGCCCGCTCCACCACCGTAGAACGATATTGTCCGCCTTGGGCTTACCATTCCCTCACGGTTTTGTTTTTGGGAACTCACGAGCAACTTCCTAGTGGGTCACCCATCCTGTGAGTGCTCTGACCTCCTTCTCGCTTAACTTCGGAGTTCCTGCGGAATCCGAAGCCAATGAGCTCCTAAAAGGCCTCGTGCTAGGTAGGGATGAGAATATACATTTAAGGATCACTTCCCTGGACGATGTGGGATGTTACAAATAAAAAAACACAAGTACGTTAGTCGACCTTAGTTAATAATCCAATCATCGATATAACCGCATCATTTGGTTTGCAATTTAGTTTGAAAAATTTGATCTCTCAAGTATTACCCTTTCTTTTTATGAAATTTGGTATTAGGAGACGAATTAGAACATAAATTCTCTTCATCATTGCAACTACAAATATTTTAAAGGGACTTTTAAAGATAAGGACTTGTCAAAGACGACTTTTTAAAATGCAATCAGAAAGGTTTTCAATATCTAAAAAAATCCTTCATTTTAATGCATCATGACACATCACTTATAATACAACCACAAGTTTTACCACTATTTACAAGGATGCCATTTTTATTGTCTACCATCTAACATCCACCATCAAAGTTTGAAAAATATAATCTTATATTCATTATCAACCATAAAAGTAACCTCCATCTTCGTTGTCTAAAAAATGCCATCTTTACGTCTATAACTACCTACCTCTTGTTTTTTTGTTTTTTGTTTTTATTTTTAATATTTATTCAAATTTGATATCGTGTGGAGGATGAACTAATTTAGGTCCAATAGTTTTGGTACGGTCAATTAGATATGTAATATAGTTTAGGTCCGATAGATTCGGTATAATCAATTTTGTACGATTTGTATTTTTTATTTTTCAGTTCACTAGTCCGATAAATTAGGTCCGATACATTATGTCCGATAAATTAAATACATTATATAGTTTAGGTCCGATAGATTCAGCATAATCAATTTGGTACGATTTGTATTTTTTTATGTTTTAGTCCATTAGGTCAGACTCGGTACTGTAAATTTGATATAGTTCGTATTTTTTATGTTTTAGTCCATAAGGTCCAATCAATTTGGTACGGTTTGCATTTTTTATGTTTTTGTTCATTAGGTCCGGTAATTTTTGCATTATTCATTCGTTAGGCCTTATACATTCGTTATGATTTACAAAATGCTTTTCAATTTTTTTGTGTTTGATCCCTTAAAAGGAAATATATGCAAACTAAAAATACAATAAATTCATGAAAATTAAATCTGACATGAAATATATAATTTGACATGTAATATATAACTTGACATAGACACGAGTCAAAGGACTATTTTTAGTTTTTCATCTTACATACGGTATTATTAAAAACATGATTTTTTTAGCGATTAAAATGAAGTTTTTTATATTTTAAATTATAGTAAAATTTTGTTCATTTTATGATGTAATAAATGTACAGATGACGCTTTACCACAATATAGGAAAATAATTATACCTATGCAATTTGGTACTAGTTCGATCCCACCAATTATCCTCTTTCCTAACTATCAACTATCTAACCCACTAACGCTATTATTTTTCCTATAACAAATGATGTGACATGTTTTTCTTTTGGGTCTACATGATGTGATGATGTTTGTTTAGGTAAGTTTGCAACAAATATGGATTCATTTATTTCTAACAAATAAGATGTGCTCACCATGAATCATGATAAGTATATAATACACCGAATTTATCCGATTTATGATCTTTTGTTTTGTTTTCCCTTTAATTTTTTAATATGAATCTACGAATTTTGAATTCAGTCACCTTCAAACGAAGCAAGGATAAAAATGTTACTACTACTAGACGAAATAGTCTTAGAAGCATTATTGAATCTTGATTTCAACCAGCTAGGGTTTAGGAAGATTTGCATTATTATAGCCATCGTTGCATTATTGTTCCTTAATTGGTTAGACAAAGACCTTACAGAAGAAGGAATAAATAAATAAATAAGAACGAGGACAAGAACGGAACAACAACAGCACTAAGCCAATAAGAATGGCTAGTTTTGATGTGGAAGATAGGATGTACTGTGGGCGAAGGAAATTCATCCCCGCGTGCGTCCAATGAAGTATATACCTAAACGAATCCAATCAATCACAATGATACGAAAGAGGAGATGGAACGAGTTTACAGTTAGGCAGCGTTCATGTTTAATAACATGTTGTCACATATAAATTTTGTATTCACGTGACAATGCGTTATTAGACTGAAACGCTATAATAATAGCGAATTCATTTTATATTGCTCATGTGATGTGAGCATTACACTGTATAAGAACAAGAAAACACTATAAAACGACACCATGGTGTAACAGAACACGTGATAGATGCTTGGGACTGAACTCAACAACGAACAGCGCACAAGGTTGGTACCCCGCTGTACCTGCGCCCTTCTTCTGGTTGATGATGGAATGTATTGGACTGGACTGCCAGGACTGGTCTAATTGTCCGTGTCTCGTGCGTTATTTCATGTTTGCTGCCAGGACTGGACTAACATAAGAAATTTTGTGAACTTTTGGTTACATATGAATCCAATTTCCAAACCAGCAATTTACCTTTTGAAACGGTGGTTTGCTTAAAAGCTATTTTATCTGAGCTCATCCACTACACAAGTAGTACAAGCTGCAGACATCTCCGTTCAAGATCCACCGTGCTTAAGTTAAAATTCAACTTTATCCCTTACAAATAACGATATCAATATTCTTGTAAAATATAGGATAAAAGAGGAGAATCTGACGGAAATTTATAAAAGAGTGCATTAAATGTGATGGAGCCTAATTTTTTACGATTTTAGTGGTAATTAGGGTGGTGCCTGTACAATGTTGTGGATTTTAAAATCATATAGAACATGTAGAAACTTTTAAGATATATACACATAAAAAATCTGTATACATATACAAGGTTTTAAAAGACGCTAGATGCTCAACTTAGTACTACAGTCTAGTGACACTTGTAATTGAGAAGTCTTAGGTTCAATTCTTGCCAAATAGGAGTTTAAACCACATTATTGGTAACCTATTGTGAGGCTAAGACTACGCGGTTAGGCGGAGACTAGGCCCTAGCGCCTAGACGGTTAGGCAGATACTAGGCGGACTAGGCATATTTAAGTAAATTCATTATATATTGTACAAATAAGTGTTATTTATATTTAAAAAAAACATAATTGTATCGGGATATATAAATAAATAAATAAAATGATATATAAATTATAAAGTATTAAAACATATTGAAAATATAGAGAACAATCATAAAATGAGTGTTCATTCAAGCATCCAACAAATGTCTTACATTTTATTGACAAAATAAAATGCAAAATGATTATCAGTTTTTTGTCTAAGTGAGGGTTGCGACCTATGCGGGTTTAGGCACACCTTTTTGTTTTTTTTTTTAAACGCCTAGGGACTAATTGAGATAGTGGCCAGCCGCCTAACTCCTAGGCAACGGTAGGCAGAGATTTTTAAAACAATGTACATATATGTAGAAATCTATTTAGACCAACTCTGTTAAAACCTTTAGCCCAAAAATTTAAGGCCAGAAATAGTTTTTTTCCTACAATGTTTTTGGCTTAAAATTTTAGCATGAAATTACTATAGAATGATTTTAGCCTAGTCGTTTTCGGTAATTTTTTTTTTAAATAAAATTTATGTAGGTTATTCTATTTGTTTTTATGAACATTTAAACCTAAAATTATTTAAATTTTGACAAGTAATGAAAAACTAGTAAACTACCTCATTCATACACATATGAGTATACAAGTTCCAATTTTAATAACATGTTTATTGATACAAATTAGTATGAAATAAAAAGTTATAGCTCGTTTGAAAGTTCTTTTAAAATGACTAAAATCATTTTTAGTGAAAATATTTTTGGGTTTCCAAAGCACTTCAAGTGTTTTTCCAAAATTTATTGCATTTTTATTGAGGATTGGTTCCAAAAGCTTTTCATCAAAAGAGCTTTTAGCTATTCTAAAAGTACTTCCAAACGAGTGGCTCCAACTCATGTCTTCTATGAATCAAACAATATGTGAGTCTCACCTTAAATTCAGTAATATATTACCTTCAAGATCAAGAATTTAATCAACTAAAAATGGATAATCCGGTTCCCACTCCTTACTGCCTATATTCCTAACTTACGCAATTCGCCCATTCATTTATTCCTCAAATTTAAATAAGTAAACACGTTAATCCGTAGTTGAATACATACAAAACTAGGAATTAAATTAATTAGGATGCTAATTGGTCTCATACCTATTTAATACCCTTACTTATTGATGACTTATCTGATTTTGTGAATTCTACCATTCAACGTAAGTACAGACTCGTTTGAAAATACTTTTAAAATGATTGAAAACGTTTTTAATGCAAAAATATTTTTTGGAATCAAACCTTAATAAAAAGACAAACCTTAGTAAAAAGACAAAAAAAAAAAATTTAAAAAAAAAACACGAAAATGAAAAATATTTTCTATAAAAACGTATTCCCAAAAAAATAAAAATTTCCCGACTGATAAATAGCAGCCCAATCTCAAGCAAAACAAGCCCATTCGTATTGAGCCAACTGTTAAAGCCTTTTGTTTCCTTTTCTCTTCTTTTGTCATTTTAATTTGTTTATTTAAATTATTTATGAAAAAATAGAAAAAGAGATAATAAAGAAGAAGGAAAGCCCCCTTATTGATTCAAGTAATTAACCCTCGGGCCTCGACGTCGCGATTCAGAAAGAAGGTGAGAAAGAGGCGAAGAGGGTTCGAAGCTGCTCAGCTGATCGTGAATTCGGCGGAAATTCCCCCAAATTGATTCAAGTAATTGGCTTTCCTTCCTCTAGGTTGTTCTTTGTAACCCTAACCCTAACCCTAGTCTCCAAATCCGCTGGCAGGGCAAATTATGAGTCTTTTTATTCTGTTTGTCGTTAATGTTGATAATGTTATGCTTATTTGAAACGCTGGTGTCGATAATTAAAGGTTTGAATTTTGCAGAAGCGTAGGCGTGGATGGAGGTACAGACATGCGGGAAACCAATTGACTCATTGCTCGAGAGGGTGCTTTGTATGAACATTCTATCTTCCGACTACTTCAAGGAGCTTTACCGGTTAAAGACGTACCATGAAGTCATTGATGAAATTTACAACCAAGTAGACCATGTCGAGCCATGGATGACCGGGAATTGCCGCGGTCCGTCCACTGCCTTCTGTCTGCTGTACAAGTTCTTCACCATGAAGCTCACCGTTAAGCAAATGCACGGTCTTTTAAAGCACGAGGATTCGCCTTACATAAGAGCGGTATGTATGTTAATCTGACATTATATACTCAACTTTATGTGTTGTTTTGAATTTGGAGATGACCGTGTTTCTCATTAATATGTTATGTGCTATATTTTTTCTTAATGGATAATCAGCTTACTTTTATTTGATTTTCAGGTGGGGTTCCTCTACTTGAGATATGCTGCAGACCCAAAGACTTTGTGGAATTGGGTTGAACCCTATATTAAAGATGATGAGGTAATGATAGATTATGTATTTCGGTTTTCAAGTTTCTTACCTTTTTATCATAGCTACGGAACTACTTTGAGACATTATCAAATGTGCCTGGCATGGACTTCTTTTATGTTATCGAATCATGTCGTCTTCAAAAGACTCTGGTGAAAGTAATAAAAACGGGCATGTGGTGTGTTGTTTATCCTGGAATGTTGCCACAAAGTAAAAATATTAGCTAATAGCTAATTTGAAGCGTGAACAAAAATTTATTTCACTCTGTAAATGGTTTCAGAGTTCATTTCAAGATTATACTTTTTGGCTTGGTGGGTATAATTTTGTAGTAGTCAAGGCTTGTCCATGGGGAAAGATGTTTCTCTCTGGGAAAAACAGAGGATTTCCTAACAAAGGGCAAACTCTGGTATTTGACGAAGATGTTTCTGTCATTAGATTGGATATACTGTTTGATATAGAAGGCATATATGATAATATAAAATATTAGGAGATGTTATATTTAACGCTTCATTTCTGTGAACCAACGAAAATATAAGTCATCTACAAATTTGGGTTCTCTTCCTTTTGGAACCTATGTTTACAGTTTACCAACTCTGAGTTTTGAATGATTCTTTGGTTCTTCTGCACGAATAGGGTTCTCAACATCCTTGCAAGTTTGTACAACAAAAAAAATGGATTATAAATTTTAAAGATTCTGGTCAAAGTCCTATGGTTCTTATAAGAGTTGTCCTTTGGTTCTTAAAATTCAAAAGCTGAAAATCACATTATTATTTTTTTCTTCCAATTTTGATGGATTGGAAACTCTTGAATTGTTAGCTGTTATATACCAATGATTGTGCTCTTCACAAAACATACTAACCATTTACTTGTGTCTCAATTTTCTTGGCATGAATTTGTGGTAGTGGCGGAGTTGCTATTACATGGAGTAGGTTCCTTTATCGGATGCTTTGTGTGTAAGTGTTAAATACGTTTCACTTGCAAATTTGAGACACAGGCGCTTCTTCAACTTAGTGAAGTAGTTCAATATGCTTTCGTTATGCCTTTGGCTGAAATGAAGTGATGTTAACCTACGTAGAAAATGTTACTAATTTAGATCCATGTAGTAAAGTTGTATGTGCTTGTGAAGTTCTTTTGAACTATCTTGGCCCGTGTTTTCTTAAGGTCTAGCTATTTATTGGCATAGATGGTCACACATATAGAGGGCGTTGGACATAAATTGCATTCGACACCAACTATTAGAATATAATATTAATCGTGTTCTGACACCTGTATGTCAGTATTTTCATAAGTTACAATATTACCATTGGATTTTCATCCAATGGGTAATAAAAAAAGGTTTAGAACAGTCATATTAGCCATCATTGGTTGAAAGGGTCTTATAAACATTCTAAGCAATGTTCTAAAAAGCAGTCTAGGCGGTAGGCGGCGGTGCTCCGCCGTGATTAACCCGAAATCGTTCATTAAATCGGCAAGGACATTAAGCGGTGTAAGGCGGCCGCCTGGGCGGGCTAGGCGTGCTCGACGGACGCTGGGCGGGCTGGTTTGGGCACAGCCTAGGAAAAAAATCTTCTGTCGCATGACTCACAACCTTCTTGTCTCCCCGAGTCTCGCCGTCTGCCTCTCTGTTTGCTTGTAGAAGGTATGTCTGCAATTGCAGAGATGGGTGCGGCGGCAGGTTGTAGAAGATGAGTTTGTAATTGCAGAGAGGTGCGACTGCTTTAGTTAGGGTTTTAGGCAATTAGTAACATTTTGCTTTAGCTAGCAATTGTTAGGTTTATTTAAACAACTAAGTCGGTGAAAGATTAATTAAAAAAAGAATGCAGGGCCAACCTTTTATTTTATTGAGAGGCCCAACAATATGGGCTTACAAAATGATACAACTTTGGAACTTTACATATACACTCATATTTAACATATATGGCTAGATATATTCTTTATTTTTATTTTTTTTTAAAATAACATAGTATCAATGTTTATTTATATATATTATGTAGTAAATTTAATTAATTTATATGATGTATTACTTAAATTTGCCTAGTCCGCCTAGGCCCTGCCTAGCCACCTAGGCGCTAGGCCGCAGCCCGCCGCCCGCCGCCCGACTAGCACCAAACGTTTTTTAGAACCTTGATTCTAAGTGGTAAGTGTCTAAGCCCTACTGATTAGGAGATAACTTTTATTAAAGTTTCTTTTCCAAATTTGTTGACTTGGCTTTGTCTCGATTCATACATTGACATGTAAGGATACATCTGGACATAATAAATTACACTGCCAAAGAGGGGTGTCACTGTTAAAGAGTTGGTGTAAATGGCTCTCTTTAACATTGAAAATTAGTTCACCAGAGGATCTGCAGTTAATGGTCAGAGTTGCCCATAGGATCCACAGTTGAGTGCATCATGGATTGGATATCTTGAATACTTTTTATTGTTCTCTTATGTTATTTTTTGTCACAAAGTCATTTGTATAACTCTTTGTATCCTGTGAATACCATCTGTTTCCACCTAATCTCATCTGTGTATAGTTCTGATATATTTCCCACCGATGCAACTTCTATGACAATGGTCACTTGTTTTTATTTTGTATTGTTATGTTAGCATATTGATTTTGCTCTCCCTTAGTTATTCATTTATGTGTTGGCTTTGGTTTCAGGAATTCTCTCCTGGTTCCAATGGACGGATGACAACTATGGGTGTATATGTGCGCGATTTGATGCTTGGGCAGGTTAGTTTCGTTGAAGAATGCACTATATTTGAATTTTTTTTGGTGAAAACAATTGTGTTCTCCATCTCTCTTCTCCCTCCCGTTCTCCCTCACTCTGGGGATCTGTTATGCCAGTTGTAATAGTCACAACAAAGCCACAGCCTAAGTATTTATTCTGTATGCATTTGCAACTGTACCATATCTAGAATGCTGATGTATCTAATTCTACTGCATACATGTCTAGCATTTAACCAGCCAAAAATACCATAACTTATTAATTTAGTCTGCCAACTGGGAGCTCTTTGTTCTCCAAGATATGCCTATTATCTCCCTCCAAAATCATGTTTCGATCAATTTTATCTGATTATTAGTTGGATAAGTTTATGCACTTTTTAACTGGAGAGGATATCTATAACAAAGTACACTAATGATAGTGATCCTTTTTTTTTTTTTTTCTAATGAAAGATAAAAGTCATGACTGGTGAGATTCGTGTACACCATATAGCAGAAATGTTGAACAAGTACCCTAAATATGAAGCTAGCTTCGCATTTAAACCAAGAATCAAGCTACAGTTTCTTTTGTTATCAAGTGACGGTACAGTTATTTACTTGTGTAGCGTGAGAGGGCTCTATGCACCTGCTTTTCGCTTCAAGAGTTCATCTGCTGAGATGCCACACCTAGTACTAAAGTGGGTAGGAGAAAGTTCACCAGCTAAAGTTGTTTGGAGTTATTGTCTAATAGAAAATAGTGGTTGACTAGAAAAAAGAAATGTACTTTCAATGTGTTTTTAATACACTTACGCACTCATATAGACTAGAAAGCATTGTGTAAAATACTTAGGGTTGGTTTGGTATTGCTGTGCTTTGAAAAAAAGCTGCTGTGAGAATAAGAGGCTATGTTGTGAGAATAAAGGGCTGTGAAATAAATCAGCAGAGTGTTTGGTAAACTTTTTTGTAAAAGTGCTTTTGGAAAAAAAAGCAGTCTGATAGTGGGCCTTTTCATTAAAGGAGCACTGTAGCTCCGTGTGCTTTGAAAAAAAGCCAGTTTTCCAAAACTGCAAATAGCAGCTTCAGCTTTTTCCTTTGATTTCAGCTTATTCTCATAGCAACTTCCAAAATAAGCCATTTTTTTCAGTTTACCAAACACCTAAAATCCTCACAGCTTTTTTTCATGGGTGCTTTTTTTTTTAAGCACCTCACTCCCAAACCACCCCTTAGTGATGCTTCTAGGACAGTAATTTAAAATCTTCTGTCTAATGCTCCGCCGATGCAGTCCTTTACAGTCACATCTACTGGTTTTCCAGATCACAGTGCGATTAAGGTCTGAATACATGTTCTTCTTGGAGTCTTGAAGCATGGTCTCAGAGTGCTACTATATAAGGTCTAAATTTAACACGTGAAAACAATACCATTTCTTCTGAATTTGAATTTCACCATGCTGAAATTGTCCAAGAGTGTTATGAATTGTTTGTTGGTTGGTGTTCAAAGCCGAAGTTAGATGATGATATATTTGCTTTGCGATTACAATATATGTAAATTTATATACATCGGTAGTTTCTGTAACTGATCATAGTTAATTTTTCACATTTTCTGTATAGTTTTTGATGCAGCTTATTTAGACAGCAATTGCTCTTAACATGCAGCACTATAAATACTGTTTTGCTGTCCACTTAACACTTTTCATTGCTATAGTTGCTAAAGTGATTAAACTTTGTTGTGCTATTGCAGTACTATTTTGATACCCTTTTCCCCCGCATCCCTGTTCCTGTTATGCGGCAGATTGTTGCTAATCTTGAGAAGATGAAACTCCCCACCAAACTATCTGGTATTACTGGAGAGGCTACCCGCCATGGATCTGATGACACAGCTCGTCGCCCACCTTCTGTGAAAGCCGCTCTTTCAGTTTCCTTTGGTCAACGTGCTCCGCATCGTGCTTCAACAAGGGACTCTTCACCTGTTCGTCGTACCTTACCGCCACCACCTTTTGACAAAGCCAGTAGTGATGATCAAACGACCCGTCGCAGTCAGAGCCGTGAATATTCTGACAGAGAATATTCAGACAGGGACAGGGGAAGGGACCGGGATCGCAATCGGGATAGGGACAGTGATCGGGATCGAGAAAGATACAAGGAACGAGAGCGGGACCGAGACAGAGCAAGGGATAGAGTTAGGGATAAGGAAAGAGAGCGAGAGAGAGATAGAGAAGGAAGTTGTGATTATGATCGGAGGTCCAAATATGGAGAGAGAGAAAGCCGAAGGGATCCATATGAGAGTAGCCGTGATGGCGGTAGGCATTCCCGTAGGAGTAGGAGTAGGAGTAGGAGTAGGAGTCGGAGTCGGAGTCGCAGTCGCAGTAGAAGCAGGAGTAGAAGTGGGAGCTTGCAAGCGGGCACCACACGTGATTGGAGCCAACAGAGAGATGTAACCAAGGATAGAACATGTGCATCTAGCAACCTGGCAAAACTTAGGGATCTTTATGGGGATGTAAGTGACCAAAAAGGTGATACCGGTATGGAGAGGATTCCCAGGGGAGATGGTGGTGGTGAAGAGGTGATTAGACTAGGCGGTTCTCGTTGGAAATAGCGCGGGGAGATTCTTGTCTTGGACCTGCTATCGGATCGGATGTGTCATTTGAGTCTTGTGGGCCGGACGGATACTGTTTTGATGATCATGAGCAAGGCAGAAAATGTTATGTTCCCAGGTGTTGTCTTTCGTTGCTCCATGTATACTAGACATTATTCGGAACTCGAGTCTTACAACTGATCCTCATGCGTTGGTTGTTGGGCATAATGTTAACTTTGTAACAGTAGTATGTAATGACTCAATTTTCAGTATCGTTTAAAGTCTCTGAAATTTTGTTTGTGTTAAAACATAGCCTACTTATCTGTCGGCAATTGACAAAGCCTGTAGGTCCCACCGCTGAGTGGACCGTCCTATTACTTTATCGCCTGCTTATCTGTCGAGATCGAGAATGAAAACCCACCATAAAAGAAAAGAAAGAGTTGCGTTTGACTGGTGCATTCTGCTCTAGGGAAGGCTTTATTCATGCACTCACAATTCTGTGTACCTCCCTAACAACTCCCCTCTTCATCTCAATCCCCACTCCAAGCCCCCAGATCACACATTACTACAATTCTCACTCCCTCTCAAATCTACACATGTCTTCACCTCTACCCGCTCAGCCACATCCCTTCTTTGCTGGTACGCTATTTCTTACTCCTGTGCGATAATATTCTTTCATCCCACACTTCTCACTCTCTCTCAAATCTACAAATATCTCGACTGCTCTACATTTCACGGTTTGACAACGTAACTTAACGCAGTTTCCATCCACTCATCAAAATCTGATTTGGGTTTGTGAATTTTGCTTGGCAGATGGGGTTCAAGCAGCTACAGAGCACCTACTCACTGTGGACAATGGAGAAGCCCATGGCGACGTGAAATTCCGGATACGAAATCTGGCCAAGAAATCAGACACCACAGGAGCTTCCATACTCAATGGGTTGACCTTGGACATACCTAAGGGCGTCATCATGGGGGTCATTGGCCCCAGCGGCAGCGGCAAGTCCACGCTGCTCCGAGCTCTCAACCGCCTCTGGGAGCCCCCGTCCGGGACTGTCTTCTTGGACGGCCATGATATTCTGGACACGGACGTCCTCAGCCTCCGCCGCAAGGTCGGCATGCTCTTCCAGCTTCCTGTTCTTTTTGAAGGTAACCCATTTGATCATATGCCCCAACTAGCACTTTCTCTCTCTCTCTCTCTCTCTCTCTCACATATCAGATCAGAACATATCAGTTGCCAAATTGCTTTGCCAAATTAGGGAATTGATAACTTGTAACATGTGCTACACAGGTTGCTTAATTTATACGGTATTGACTTGGTTGCTAATTGATTGTGTTTTAGGTTGCTATATCCACCATTCCTCTTTCCCCTAAAGTATCTTGGTGTGTTCAGGGGGGACTCATATTTTTGGTCATTGTAATAGAGATTTAGGGTGTGATTATAATATGATTAGAGAGTGATTATAATATGAAAACCGTGGTGGGTTGGATTAGTTATAAAGTATTTATGCATCTTTGTCACTGTTGATGTGAGCATTCTAATTATGGGCTTTTTATATTCTCTACTCTGGAGTTCACTAGAAAGTTTCGGAACAAAAATAAAACAAATTCCATGGTTCTCCGAATATGCCGAAGTTTTTACCCATTAGATTTTCATTTAAATATACAACAATGAAGATGTAATAGTTACAAATACTCTGAGACACCCTAAAATATTCTTTTCCCTTTAAGTTTATTGAGCCCGTTGCTGACTTTTCCTTTGGGGTGGGGTGGTTCATATCCAAAGCTTACTCTCTCACATTTAAAATTTAATACCCAATCAATTACTTTTAGGTATTTGCCTACCATGACCTAATTCTATAATAGCAGTGATTAAACCTACTTGTCCTATTGCTTGGATGGTGTTTTCCTTTTTTATTATTGAGGGTGACGGAATTCAAATACAAGACCTCTTCTAACATTGTGCAAGGAAAATACCACTAGAGTAATCGCTCGCTAGTTGGTTATTCTCTTTGTCTAAACTACGAAAAAGGGATTAACATGCCTGCACATGTTCAGAACAAGACCACTTTAGAAAATATCAAATTTGGATGATTGTAATGTCAATTATCCCCCTCTTTTGCCTCCTTTCTCTCTACAATCAAGATTAAAAGAATTTGATCTTGTGCATTTCAAATGCTGTTTGATATTTGTATTTGAATTTCTGGTATCAAGTCTACCTGGAAAGAATTTGGAGTGCATTAGTATATGAATATCCTGAAATTCTCCCCCACACATTTTTTTTTCGCGAGTAAACAGTTGAGATACCATTCTTTTTTTACTTTGATGCACAGGAGAGCAAAGCTCTACCAATATGTACTTGTGTATCTGTTTTCGATTGCAAATTAAGAATTGAGATCAATTCATTCTTCAGGCACAGTTGCAGACAATATACGTTATGGTCCTCAACTGAAGGGGAGGAAGCTGAGTGACGAGGATGTTCACAAGTTGCTAAACCTTGTAGACCTTGATTCATTCTTTGCCACCAAGACTGGTTCTGAAATGTCTGTGGGTCAATCCCAAAGAGTGGCACTTGCTAGGACCCTAGCCAATTCTCCTGAGGTAAAAACCCGTACATGATACCAGCAACTCCTTTTTATGTGAAAATACTTGACTCTCTACATTCAAGAAGTCATTCCTTCTCACAAACAAAATCACTGTTTGATACTTATCCAGACATTCCTCCGTTCATGATCTTAATGAGTTCATATGACATTTAAGGGGTCATTCTTTCGTGCAGACAAATTCCAGTTTGACATAGCATTTTTCTTATTGTGATCGTAATAAGTTACTTTTGCATATATCGGAATATGATTTAATGGTAAAAAAGGATGACTCCTTACATGTACCAAGCCAAACAATGTTCCTTTTTGTTACGTATGGCATTGTTGGTAATGTGTTGTATTATACTTTTGGGAAGGTTTTGCTGCTGGATGAGCCGACAAGTGCGTTGGATCCAATATCTACAGAGCACATAGAAGGTGCTTTAGTGAAGCTGAAGCAGAAACAGGGGATGACCATTGTAATGGTCTCTCACAGCATCAAACAAATCCAGAGGATTGCTGACATTGTTTGCCTCCTTGTGGATGGGGAGATTGTTGAAGTTCTCAAACCAGACCAACTCTCTCAAGCCAACCATCCCATGGCACTACGGTTCCTTCAGCTCAGCTCTTAAGTTCTCTCTCTCTCTTTCTCTCTCTCTCTCTCTCTCTCTCTCTCTCTCTCTCTCTCTCTCTCTCTCTCTCTCTAGATTGATTTGGGAATTTATATTGTTGTGTGCACAATATTTGCTTAGCATTTGCTTGATGATGCCTTCTGGAAAAGAAGAAACTTTTGCTAGTAACTACTCTGATATTTGTATTGGTTACAGTGATTCATATACATTTGAGAGGGGCCTAAGAACTATATTTACAGAATTTGTATTCCAACTCACATTTCTTTCTCTACTCCCGCATCACCATATATACACCACCATTACATATACACCACACATATACTTACACACACATATATAAACACTAATGTTTGGCTTTCTCTACTGAGCAAGTTTCCAATCTGACCAAAACTGGGGACTTTGCATGTCTTCGCTTCTTATTTGGCTTTGTTGTTGTCGTGGGTGATGACACGACAACCTCTTCGTGTTGCGCTTTGCTGAGCATGTTCCACATAATCTGTACATCTTCATATCCACACATTTGTACATCATCCTGAAGCTTTAGCAGACCACCTATTCCACCACCACGCTCGCCACCAACACCCCCTGCAACACCACCACCTGCTCATAAAGACAATGCAGCAGATATTCCTAATCCATAATTCACCTTACATTTTCTCTAGTAAAACGTCAAGAAAACTGTTATTAGTACTTTAAAAAGGTCGCAGCTGTAATGCACTCCTTGATGCAATTTCTATTCAACAAATAGTGCACGATGACTTTTCTGGAGTGCTAATAAAAGCTACGTAGAAATATAAATTCCTTTTCCATGGCTACAATAATCTGAGCCCACAAAGCCCAATTGCCATGAAAGGGTAGCAAGACTATATATGGCATTCGAATTTGATGGAGTACCAAAATGGCATGTTAACATAACAGTGGGAAAGAAAGCCAAGGGGAAAATTAGATGAAGTAGGTAGAGGGAAGAGGAAGAAGAACAAACCCAGAGATCTACGAAGTTTGAGGGTGGCAGAGAGAGCAATCAATGCCTTCCTTAACTTGTGCAGCCAATCCATCTTCAAGGTCCCAGCGCAGGTCAGCCCTGCCCTTCCACCAGACTCCACACTCACTCAGTCTCAACTCTCAACAACAACAGATCATCCTATCCTATCCTATCCTATCCTATCCTAGAGAGAGAGAGAGAGAGAGAGAGAGAGAGAGCAGATAAGTGGGTAATTGCCAAGTGGATTTCTGAATTTATACACAAACTATGAAGAAGAAGAAGAAGAAATGGATTTGAATTTGGATTTGGAGAGAGAGGTGATGAGCGAGCTTGCGGCAAGAGAGGCACCGAATCCCCAAAACACGTTTCTTGATGAGCGTGCCAGGCGTCCATCTTCCAAGCCGCTCCATCAGCCACGACCCCCTTTTTAATTCCCTTCCTTCATTGTCTTCACTCTTGTTCTTTTCTCTCTCTCTCTCTCTCTACATTTCCCGTTCCAAGACCACTCTCAATACTCATCACAATCGGTTACTCTCTCGACTGACTGACTGATTGAGTGAGTGGAATGCCTTGAAGTTGTTGGATTTGACTCCCTCGTTTTTGTTCATTGTTTGTTGAGAAATGCTAAGAGCCTCTCTCAAAATAAGATTCTACAGAGCTTTGGAGTCTTTATGGACTCATTATCTTTTCATAATTCATCGTCAATTCTTGTGCTAACATTATAAAATATTATGCCAAAAGTACAAAGTAACAGAGAATTTACGAAGAATTCTACTTTTGAGAGTCCTCTTAACATTGCTCTTGTCTGTTTACTACTGCTGACTGTAGATTAACACCATCGTCATCATATTATATACCTTTTTGATTCAGTTACATTCGTCCCTTCTGTTTACCATTCACTCTTTCTTTCATTCTGACGGTCCACCTCACTCTTCTAGTCAAAGTTTTTCCTAATATAAACTCCTTGAAAAAAAAAAGAAAACTAACGAAAAATAATTGAAAACTTTGAGTTTTAATGATAAGGACAAAATAAAGGATAAAGTGAATAGTAACATGTTTGACTTTTTAGTGTTAAAATGTGGTTTTTCGTTAAAGTGAACAATACATGGACTTTTCATTAAAACTCCCTTGAAAAAATTCATACGAGTCACTTAGCTTTTGCTTGTAAATAAGATATCTTAAATTGAAATCTCATAAGACGGCAAATTCGATACAAAATTATTACATATGTAAAAACATCGTTATGTTAAAAAAAATTCTAATTGAACACACAACTACGTAATTCATTAAAAAATTGTGGAGAAACGTATTATGGTTTTGTAAAATTATTAATTAGAAATGTGATTGTGTAAACTTAAAGTAGAATTCCTACAGGTTTTGGAGATCAAATCCTTATAGGTTTATATTACTTGCAAGACAAGAAAACCTATCATAATTAGTATAAATAAAGGTGCAAGGCCAAGGTGTGAGGACATAATTCTCATACACCTAGGTCGCTCTCTCTCTGGTGTCGCTTCCCTCTCACACACTTTTAAAAATAGTTTTACTACACGTTATCGGTAAGACGTGTCACTACGAGAAGGAGAGGACCCCAAGGTAGACCTTGCGAAAGCTTTTCACCATCTTCATCAACATCCAAGTAACCCTAAACTGCTAATTTATTTGATTTTAATTTAATTTATGCATTTCTCGGTGAAGTGGAGTGTTCTATGGTCGTTTACTCACAAGTGTCATTTAGAGTTCAGCATTCAAACAGTCGTACGACATTCACCATAAGATAGAACTTGGCTACTGAAAAAATCAGTAGCAACTCCTGCTCACCAATCACAGATGGACACGTGTCCAATCTGTGATTAAAACATCAATCATTTGGACACGTGTCCATATGTAATTGGTGAGCAACAAGAGCTGTTGTTGATTTTTTAGCAGCCAAGTTCTGTTCTTCAGCATAAAGATGCTCATTTTCTTTGAGTATCTTTGTTGCTAATATAGATTAGGTGCACTTATATTTTCACAACTATAGTTGAAGCGGGCGAATTTGGTGCAGAAGGTTGAACTGTGTAGCAGGAGGCATAACCTTGTGTTCAAGTTTTAGAACCCAAGGTCGAGAGTGTTCCTTCCTCGGCTGAAGTCGCTCAGTGTAGAAGTCATTAACGTGGTTCATCGTCACATCACCGCATCCATCATATTCCCCCGACCGAGCTCGATAGTGAATTAGGACAACATAAAACTCTAAACTAAATTCAAACAATACAATATCAACATTAAAAAGCACCACACCAACAAAATTCACAAGAAAATACCCACTAATCAAACCGATCAACCATATGGAAACCACTAAAAGTGCGAACAAATAAAGAAGATTCGATCAATTCACCACATTATTATGGCTTCCCATTTTTTCAATATATTTCTGGCATCGCAAGCCACCACAGTGCCCTTGTAAACAAAGCCAAAACATGCCTGACAATCTTCTAATTTAATCGAAACCAATTCATGCTATTGAATCTCACGGAAAAGAAATCCCCACTTTTTTTTCAACCCTAGGTCGTACACTGCCTCAGAAAGCAAAGCAGAATTAGAAGAAGAGATAGAAAGGTGAAGGAATTAGGTCATACAATAAGTGATGAAGGTGATTACGAGATTGCCCACGAGAGGGCACGTGACCATTTTTAACATTGATTTAGACGAACAACGACGGAAAAACGACATTGATTTGCATGGTTAATATTTAAGAACTAATCATCAATTTTCATATCATTTGTAATAAAACATTTGTAATAAAGGGTATAGGCAATACTAAGGAGACTAAATTTATAGACAAAATTTACAAACTAAATGAAGTATCACCAATATAAATGAGCACGTTTTTTAATGCTTAAATAATATAATCATCAACTTTCATATCATTTAGTTTACAAAGTTTGTCCTTGGCATTTAGAAACTTAAAGAATGAGAGAGGATCCTCGCAGGATCGTCCAATCACATTCCTTCTTCGTACACCGTGTGACCAATTTTCGTCAGGTATTGTTTATATTCAATTTTAAATAAAAAATTTACAAGAATTATTGACCGCCCTATATACGATGAACGAATGTGATTTGAGGATCTCTAAGATCCTCACAAGGAAAATCCGACGAAGATACTCATTCGTAAATAATTATTTGGGACAGAAATCCTATGTGCCATGTCACCATCCTACTAATGGGCCTACAAACTGGACGAAAGCAGTTGAAATAGGCATACGCAGTCGCCGGCCCATTCCCAACTCTTCCTCCTTTTGTATCCCAAGATTCCCAGCTCTAGGGTTCGTTAAGTTTCACCGCTCAGTCCCTTCACCCTCCGCCCTTCCCTGCTATTTTTGCGTACATCTCACAACCTGAAACCACCGCACAAACCTCAAAAATGGAGGCAGACACGGCGGTGGAAGCAGGCCTCTCCCTGATAAAGCAACTGGCTTCGTGCGATAAAAGCAGCCGAGACAGAGCCCTCAGGGTCCTGCTCAAAACATGGCTGCCGGCGCAACTCAACGTCCAAGACGACCACATGAGGAAGCTCTGGAAAGGCCTTTTCTACTGCCTGTGGCACTCCGACAAGGTCCCGGTCCAAACCCAGCTCATCGATCGGCTCTCCGCTCTGGTCCTCAGCCTCCACCTCCCGCTCTCCCTCCACTACTTCTCGGTGTTCTTGCTCACCATGCGCCGCGAGTGGCCCGGCATCGACGCCCTGAGGTTAGACAAGTTCTACTTATCGATTCGCAGATTTATGACTAGTTTCTTTACTTTGATGAGAAATAATTTGTGGGATTTGGAGCTTGTGAAACGTCTGATGGGTGTGTTGGAGGAGAGGACTTTTTTTGCGGATGATAAGTGTTTGGGGAATGGGGTTAATTACCACATTGCCTCTGTTTTTCTAGAAGAGCTTAGGCCGTTTCTTCCGCTTAAGGCTGATGTTCTTGAGGTTCTGTTAGTGGGTTTTATTCGGGTTTCAGCTCAAGTGCCCGATAAGGTGTTGTTGGGGAAGATTAAGAGTAATATGTTCGATGTGCTGCTCGGGGCGGGGAAGAGGCTGTTGGAGGTTAAGAAGTCGGGGGAGGATGTAGATTTGGGTGATGAGGTTGTTGTCTTCGGGACAATTGTGCTGAAAATGGGGTTTGCGGGCAAGTTTTATGAATCAGGGTCTTCACCTGAGTGCTGCCAGGGTAATAGGAAAGTGTTGTTTGGCTTGCACGAGGGGTTTATGAAGTTGGAGAAAGAGTTGGAATCTTCTGGGATTGAGATGTCATTTCCTGATGTTGTTTATCAGGACGATGAGGAAGTGCCGAATTTGGTTCCCCTTGATAGTGAGGAGATGGACGTAAGTAAATCAGAGCCTGCTGATGTTGTCATGGCCAATGGGTCTGCTGGAAAGCGTTTGAAGAAGTGCAAGAAGAATGAGAAGGGCACTGGTGGTGCTGATACAAAGGCAGAGAAGAAAAAGAAGAAGAAAAAGAAGAGTAAGGAGAATGGGAGTTTTGATTCAGACTCTGAAAAGAGCTCTACAGACAGGGAGAATGAGAACGGAGCTACAAATGGTGAGAATTCAGATGATCATCAGGTCACTGATGCCGATGCTTTTAAACTTGAGGATAATGTGATATCGAACCTGCAGATGCAGTTTGAGAAGATTGCTGCTGAAGCCGGCTTGGATGACGATGTTCCAAGCGCCTGTGATTTGCCTACAGTTTCAGATAAGGGCCCTATCTCTAAGAAGAGAAAGAGAATGAAGAAATCTGTTGAAAAAGAAGCCGAGGGTGGCACCAATGCAAAGAGTGGAGAGAAGAGTGCAAAGAAGGTAAAGTTTTCCATGAAAAACAATTTGGTGTGGAAGCCCCAGAGCCCTTTACCTCCGCAAGATTTAAGACTGCCTCCTTCTGCTACGCCTAGAGGAAGTGCACTCAAGAAAGGAGTACCTCCAGGTCCGATTAGGGAAATGCCTTCGCCTACTAAGAAGGTGAAAATGGTAAGAGTTGTTGCTGTCAAGAAGGCACGGAAGGCTGTCAAACGTATAAAGAAGTTGAAATCTCGTCCTACTTAGAAGATATCTTTTTGTATGATATCTTTTTGCTGGAATTTCTTTTTCTGTGTTTGTTTTTTCATACACAAACATTTGCCCCATATGTGCTCTTTCTTGTTGCCTATGCTCTATTGGGTTTATTCATAAAGTTAATTCTGACAATGATATTGGCTTATTCATAAAATTGATTGAAATGATGCATTGGCACAGATGCCCTTTGTTTGCTACTTTGTTACTAACTGTTCGAGAACACTCTTCCTCTAATGTTGTATAGTTCTATACTCTAGGAATCATCTATGGATGTTATGCTCGTCAAATGTATTTTTAATTAATTTCTTACTTTTCAAAACTAGATGTTTGTGATATTTTGCTCTATTGTTATTTGATTTTAGTTGCCTCCCCTTCGTCTGTGTAGATTTATATTTGGTTGCTAGCAAAGACCTTTGGAACTAGGATAGCAGCCCGACCACGGTTAGTTTGCAGCATATTGTGCTTTTATTTTACTTAATTTTTGTACTTCTTTCGGTGTTAGAAGCATATTAGTGTCATGCATATATAGAAAGCTTGAGATTGAGTAAGAATGTCTATGTTTCTCTTGAAGCGACTTTGCCTTGGGGTTTTAAGAGGAGTGTAATACGGAGTGACAAAAATCTATGTTCAAAAGTGTGAGGTCGGAGAAGAATCAAGTGCAAATCCAAGAATATTGATTCATTGAACTCTTTGCTTTTTAGACCATGGTCATAGGTCTATCATCTTTCAAACTGCTTATACCTTGTTACCAGTACATTCTGTTCTTGCTTCGTAAGTATCGTCCTGTTTTCACTTTTGGGAGAAACACCCCTCGACGTTATCTGTGTACAAATTTTGGTTCTTGTTTTGATGAGGTTCCTCCTAGCTAAAGTAAGAACATGTTCCTCACAAAAATGCCGAATCATCTGTGCAAATTTGTGCTTGAAGGTAGCAGGCGCCTGCATTGTGTTTGTTCATGTGATGTTAAAGCATAATTTTGAATGCTGTGATGATATTCTCTCTTTTGTTAACAATGAATTATTGCCAGTATCGCATCTTTACGTTCTTAAAAGGTGGGGTAAGAAGCTTCCATAGCGACACCTTGCAAGTATTTTATTGCAATTAATTAGTGTTAACTTAAATGTAGTTAGATTAAACCGCATTGGCCTTGGTTCTTTCTCCAGGTCACAGAAGGTGGTGGTGCTCTAACATTTTCGTTTTTGAAACAAGTCGTCGTTGTGGAGCATTCATGCCCCATGAATCCATTTCTTGAAGCTTCGAATTCTTCATTTGTAAAACTTTTGTTATTATCAATTCAGCCCGCATTCTTCCATTTCACAGTATGTGTAGAGAAAAACTTATGCATGATAACGCATTATTAGATTGGGACGTCATGATGATAACCTGTTGCGGTTCCATGAAGATCATTTTTCTCCAGTAGGAGCGGCAACCTTCCAAACTAGGTGATCAAACATCTCAGCTTCAGGCTTACTTGTGACATCCGAAACTGTCTCTTTTGGTTGTTGCCTAACAAAGTTAGATTGCTTGTGTGCTTAATTATACTCAAATCATAGCTCAAATGCTTTTTCTCCAAGAGAGTCTCTTGGAAGTGCTCGTATCTTAAATATTAACCGTGCTATAAACGCAGACATTAGCCAGTCGATTCTCCACCGTTCATGTCACAAACACTTCATCTGTCTATTTATTGGTCATGTGGCAGCGTTACAATTACTCCCTAATACAAAAAATATAAAGCACATAGCATATATCTCAATCTTTTTACGCGGAATGGAGGAAATCGATGATATTCACGCAGCAGAGCACTCAGGAGGAAATCCTTGCGGGAAGCGCTTGGTATCTCTGCAGTAGTTGTAAATCATGTAGTTCTTCTGAACCCATTTGATTCTCTCTTGCCCTGTGGAATCGAGTGACTGAGTTAACCAGCTCGACTCGTTCGGGGACTTTGAAGGACAACGGGAAGTGCCTGAAGACCAAGTGCAAGCTTGGGCGTTGAAGTTTCTGTAGGAGGCTGTGAAGGGGGCTTTGCTCCAATCCGTCTTCACAAGTCCGCCGCGTGTGGCCCAATCGTCTGCATTCCATAGGCTTGAGTATATCCACATGCCTTGGTCCTTTGGGAAAGAGACTCCCTTAGATTCTAAGTTCTTGAACTCTCTAATGGGTGTTCCATCTACTGAGAAGCTATTCAACAAAGAACAAAAAAAAAGTTTAGCATACATCATGCAAAAAATGAATAAAACTACATGCATGGGCTATCAGCTATGCTCTCTTTACGACTTTTGTGTTGGACTGTAAATTTGGACCACACGTTCATCAAAGAACTCAATCCGATCAATGGTTTAGATGTACAATTTGATGACAACATAAAATAGTAGAAAATTGTTTTCATGTTACGTATAGGTACCATATTTACTTGCTGCATCACTAATCATGTCTCTAGTTGTAAAAATGAGGATTCGTTAACACATAGCTAAATATCTTTTGAATCTCATTTAGTGAGACATGTGGTCAGTAAATATGGTGCCTATAAGTAAATGAAATAATAGAGAGAGGGAGGGAGCCTAATTTTACATGATGGTTTGAGGGTTCCACAAGATGGAGTAGGTATGGAAGTCTTTGGTGGGATCAAACCAAAGGTAGAACTGTTGCTCCCTATTCCCCTTCCCTTGTGTGAAAATATTTGTGTGCAGAATATAAGGGTCTCCACTTAGGTTGCCTAGAAACTCGAAGTCTATTTCGTCATGAGTAGAACCCAATGATGATAGCTGCAATCAACAAAGACATAAAAATATTAGACCCGCAGTTGACTGCATGATATAAATATGATGTATGAAAAACCAGAATAATTAACATATATTAAGTTGCTAAGTAAGTTATACAGGATGAAGTATAGTATACAAATACTCACATAGTAAGCTGTAACCGTGCCAGCAGAGTTACCAGGCACAAGCTTTATCTGCATATCAATTTTTCCGAACAAGTACTGATTCTTCGACTGAAACCCCGACCCTGATGTCTTGTCCAGGGACAGCGTAAGACTCTGCCCGTTGTCGAGTATTTTTGCCCGACCATCGCCCCATGTTATGTCAAAATCTTGGTTGAAGTTTCCGGCCGACGTCGCCACCAAAACATTGAACACCAGAAGTACTAGAACAAGGAATATCTTAGTCATGGTTTGGTTTGTCAAATAGGAGAAATGGGGTAAAGCAAAGAGAGAAAGGTGTTCGGTGAAAATGCATGGGAATGGCAAGGGGTATATATACTAGTTTGATGGGTGCCAGGAGAGTGTGGGAGAAGTAGGCTAGTACGCGTATATAGCTATTAGGCAATGGAAAGGATTCAATCAGTGGTGTGGTGGTGAAGTCGTTGGGGAATATGCATGCGTTTGCTTAAGAGATTTGGGTTGACTTGGCTCGGCTGGGTGTACATTGGAGATCAGTGGGGACCCTTAGACAGCTAATAAAGATGATGTGTCCATTTTGTCCAAGTTTCTTTACGTTCTTTCTCCAATTGCATGGATGGCCTTGGGAAATTGGGAAAATGATCTTTCTATTTCACGCGGTTGTGAAGTAATGGAAGGCAAAGGCATTGGGAGAAGGTTCAAACTTCAAACCCCATGTACATAATATCACAGCTGTTTAGTCCTATTAGTTTTTGGATATAAAAGATAAAATATTACAAAAATACTTTTACAGCAGATCGTTAATTCACTTATACATGCTATTTATTCATTTACAACAAGTCACAATTTAATATCGAATTCACTACATTATATGTATCGTCATCAAGTATATTTGAGTCGAAAGTGAGATTTTCTACAATCTAACGAGGCCAAGTGACTCTAGACTAGCTAGTCATGTATGTCACAACTGTTGATTCTTTGTAGGTTAGATATAATTAAATGGTCTCGTGATACCAAGTCTTCCTTCTTAATTATCATTCATGCTCCCCAAACCAGAAAAAAAACTATTAAACTTTGGTGTGGACTTCAACTTTAGTAATTAATTGGTGATAGAAAGTGAAGGATTTACTAGTACTATTCTGCTAATCGTTTCACTTGTCATAGATATATATTAACTTTGATTGACTATTTTTGGCAATAGATACAATCCCACGTCTACAAATGTCAAATATGGATCAGATTTAATTTGTATTTGAATCTGAAAATGAGTAATTAGAAGGATATAAATTCCTTCTAAGTTTTCAATTTTAGTTTACGATCAAAATAACAAAGCCTATTACATTAACAAATAAAATATGAGACAAAAATACGATCCACTAATACAAACGTTTATATTCTAGGTTAACAATGACTGATGTTATGTCATTAAAATATAAAGCACAAATCACTATAAGGTAAATAAATAAATAAAAGACAGTACCATATACATTCATTTACAAATAACGTATCTTGAACATATAAACTCAACGATTGGAATCATTCAATTTCTTAATAATTATTTGAAGACACTTCTACAAAAATCATTCGAATTGAAAATCGTTTAGTCATATCCAAACGTATCAAATACATGAAAGGATCATCATAAATATGTTACTTGGTATCTACACCGTTGATTTGTTCTATCCATTTCAATAACTAAATGATCTCCAATTCAATGATTTTTTGTAGGAATGATATGTAAATTAAAATTAAGAAATTGAATAGTTCCTATTATTAAATTTGAACATTATTTGCATTGGATGAATGAGCACATTAATATAATACGTACGCAACCACACATACTATACGTGAATTACCAAGTAGGCTTCATATAAAAGCATACCTAACCTTTTATGAATAAGTTGCGTTGAAGTAGTTCTTGTAGATTAGTTAAGGTATTGAAGGTAAAAGTCAAGATAATTAATTGGTTATTAGTAAGTAGTTCGTGTCTGTACGTAAAATTGAAGGGCTTTTCTCGAACTTCGTGTATTGTATGTGGGAAGTCTTAAAACATGACGCACCATTATTTGAATTGTAGATGGAATAGTATGCATGGCTCCTCCTTCTCAATCGTCATGCCTCAGCCAGGCAGGAGGCAGCCAGGAATTTTTTTTATTGTGACCGGAACACGAATAGTACATCATGTGTTTCTATATAAGTGGTGGAAAATTTTACTTTTTAAGTTATTAACTTTTTAACACGCACATTACACCATTTATATAATAACACATGGTGTACTACCTTGTATGCCGATCACACTGAAAAATCTTCTCAGCCAAGGAAGGTAGGTTATGTAACATAAATGTCAATTTCCCCAAACAAACGAAGTCTTATGGTCGTCACCAGTCAAACGTTGCTTTCATGCAAAGCTGTTTCCATATGGACTTATGGGATAGGCCTATAAAATAAAAGATATAATTTTATTCCTTTGTTTATAAAACCTAAAATATTCTTTTTCTCTAAGATTGATAAAAACTACAGTAAGAAAAATAGAAAGACAAAAAAAAATAAAGCAATGACGTTTCTACTTGCATACATCGAGGGAAGTGGTTTTTTTTATACATTGTTTTTTACTTTTTACATACCTTTCTTTATTTGTGGTATCAAACTGAATAAATCAAATAGAATCAACGATAATAATTAAATATGGGTGTTTAAGATACTAAAATGGACGTTAAATTATCATTTCTCTATATTTGAGGCAAGTTCTAATTTCCAACGTTTTGAGCTTAAAATTCAGCACATAAAAACTTCTTGTTTTGGGGACACTCTTCTGTGGGATTTTTCATAACCTCACCGTACGTTTTCATTAAATAAAACAGGGTAAAGTAGTTAGAAGTTGGAGACCAAATTCTATGTGTTAGTGGTTTTTTCACACATAACCGGAAAAAGGAAGCGCTTCTTTTTAAAAATTCTTAAGAGCTTTCGTTAGATCATATTTGGTTAACGAACTTTGAGTGCACAGTTAACTACTCACTCATTCATATATTGGTTTGGAAAGAGAAGTATCATTAGTGTTTGGTCGCCCTTTCTGTTATCTCCAAGTTATTGTGAATGCATTGTTTTAGTTACATTGAAGAGTATTGAACTCTGAACTTAACTCCTACTCATCACTATTGTAAATGGTTCCTAAACCAAGCCATCATCCGTTGGTTCCCTATAACGACTCAGAACATGAAGGGGTGGGCGTGGACCGGTTTGATTCGGTTTGACACCAAAAATATAATTAAATCAACTAGTATTCAAGAGTTTGGTTTGGTTCAATTTTGATCAATACCATCATTTAAACCAAACGAAACCAAACCATTGTTAATCGGTTTGATTTGGTTTGGTTTAGTCGGTTTGAGCCTATTCAACACATAAATAAAAAAAGGGAAAATTTGAAAGAGGTCAAATTTTATAGCTCATCTTTTGAAATAGGTCCAATTTTTAGTGACTTTTGAATTTTGAAATAGGTCCAATTTTTAGTCCAATTGGACCCATATCAAAAGACCCCATAAAAAAATGTTCACGATTTCAAGAGTTTGAATCTTCTAAACATCCACACATCTTATGCATTCCAATTTGATTGAAAGATTAAGTTTTTTGGGACATTAAATGTTTACCAAGTCAAATAGAACTAAGTTTCAATTAAATAAAATCTCGTACTAGTAAACGATTTATTAATTACAACCTCACATAAGCACAAGATACATATATATCTCCTAATTGTTAATAGTGATTACAACTAATAATATGTTAAGACTTATAATATGTGTATGGTAATACCTCTAAATAACCTATAATAAGTTCATATGTAAAATAAATATATTAATAATTAAAATATACATGGTCGGTTCGGTTTGATTTTTGGTTAGTTTCAAAAGCATCAACCTGAACCAATCCAAAAGTAAATCGGTTCAATTTGATTTTTAAATTGTTTGACCTTTTTCTTGGTCAAAATCAAACCAAACCGACCAATATGGTTCGAATTGATCGGTTTGGTAAGTTTGATGCGCAGCCCTAAGTTAAACTACGCTAGTACGTCGATGATTGAACCCCTTATGTATGGTTCAAATTGCCAAATCCTTCATCACCTATAATTGTCTATTGCTTGCTTTGTTTGTTCAGCAAACCCCAAAACTTTCAAACCTCCACTACTAGTGTTGCGTGGTGATTAGTCTTTCTTAATCCCTAGTTCAATCATTAAGGTCAAGATAATAAGATAGAATAGAAGCCACGTCATGTTTGACATGATTAGGTTGTTTATATTGCGGGTATCATGATCGAAAGATTTATTTAAGAGACCCAATTATCCTTGTAACACATTTTAAATTGAGTGAATAAAACGCATGTTAATCTGTGATCAAATGGATGCTGAAATGCCTTTATGAGTCTTTCCGGCCTCCGAAAATGATGGATAACCGTGATTTGTTACCAATCTGTGGTCAGATGGAGGCTGAAATGCCTTTATGAGTCTTTCTGACCTCCGAAAATAATGAATAACCGTGATTTGCTACCAATTTTTCTTCCTTTTATAGAAATAAAAAATAAAAAATAAAAGACATGTTAATCCAGTCCTAATAAAAAAACATAAGTCCTCGCCAAATGTTGCTTTCTTGATCAACCTCGGCCAGAGCGTAGAGGTTACAAGTTGCACATAATTGCTATTGTCAATTGGAAACCAAATGATTGAATTGGAAGTGAGCCAATAGATTTCTAAATGGTTCATTGAAACTATTTGCAATAATATGAGACCTCATTCGTCTGACTCCGAACACCAATCCCACTGGCAATATTAGTGGAGGATTCACTAACTGGTGCATTAATATGGAACCGGATCCCCTCCTGAGCTCAGGAGGCTGAGCAAATCACACGGGCCGTTGAAATTTGATCCAACAGTTGTAATTATTATAATTTTCAGAGAGGTCTCCTGTTTGTAACCGTTTGATCAAATTTCAACGGCCCAGATCTTTTGCTCAAGAGGCTTAGCCTCCTAAGTTCATGAGGGGATTTGGTTCCCATAAACATATATGTGTAAAGTCCACACGACACACACACACACACATCTTTTTCAACATACTTTAATCCTTCTAAGAAATTAACTCTCTACATGGATATCATCTTCCTATGCCTATTCATGTTTGGATTTCAAATCACCAAAAGCACTTCTGTGTTGGACAGAAAAAAAAAAAAAAACAGAAGTACTTTTGGGGGAAAAACATTTGAAATACGTTATGAAAGAACCACCATTTGTGTAAATT